GACTGTCTAATTTCCAAAAAGGAGTAATTTGGGGGATATCTGTACTGTTCTGACCAGGGCGGACTGACAACTCATGGGGCCCCCTGGGCAATAGGGGATCATGGGGCCCCTGTGTCCTTGCCCAAACTCAAAAAAGCCTATGAAAAAAGGTACCAGGGGCATCTCATGGGGCCCCCTACTGACCCCGGGCCCTCGGGCAGTGCCCGAGTTTCCAAATGGTCAGTCCACCCCTGGTTCTGACATTTTTAGGCCTCAAGAAATTAGATTTTTTCAGATATACATCATAGTTTGTGGACTCTATAACTTTCCTACAGACTAAATAATAAAAACAGATTTGGGTTACTTTCAGCAAAGAAATGTAGTAGAATACATTTTGGCCTAAATGTATGAAGAACAATTTTTTATTTGCAAAATTTTATAACAGAAGTGAAGAAAAACGCGTTAATTTCAAAACTTTTCACTCTTTTTTTGTTTATTTAGCAAAAAATAAAAAACCTAGTGGTGAATAAATACCACCTAAAGAAAGCTCTATTTGTGTGAAAAAAATGATAAAAATGTAGTTTGGGTACAGAGTTGCATAACTGTGCAATTGTCTTTCAAAGTGCGACAGCGCTGAAATCTGAAAATCGGCCTCGGCAGGAAGGGGGTAAAAGTGCCCGGTTTCAAAGTGGTTAAACCATTCCCTACATCATCAAAAACTAAAACTAAAAATTTGCCTGTAGATATCCTTTAAAGAAACCCTTCTCAACCAGGAATCTATGGAACGCTATGGTTCTTCCAGAAGTAGCTAGGGTTTCATGAGCAATGAGCAGCTTTCGCCTTTTAGTTAGGTAACTGCTGACAGCAATGACCTTTTTTATTATCTGTAAGGATGAATTCAGCCCAATGACCACAGGTGTAAGAAGCATTCTCCCTATTGACCATCACACTAATGTACTGCGAGCTATAGATATAGTAATGATTATCAGAGGTTCCCTGAGAACAAGGGTTCCTCCATGTTAAAAATGTTGAAAAACGTTGCTTTACAGTGAGGATTGCAAGGGGGATCCGCCTATTAAGTGATGAAAATGAACTAATATTAGCACCAATAGAGAGTAGAGTGTAGGATGAAAAGCCAATGGGTCTTCTCAATGGAACTGTCTATATACAAAGGAGGTTGGAGGGTTAAGGATAATCCATCATTTAAATGGAGTCACATGCACTACCATGTGGTTTATTTTTTATTTAGAGTCTAAGGGATGAAAAGCTCTTTCTTAGCAGATCGCATTGAATGTCAGCATTCCAAGAACGCAATAGGATCATTGGTAACAGTCCAAAACCTGCTGAGTTATTTCTTACAACTTGATTTCACAGTTGAGGACAAATCTGGGGTTGTCTCCAGAGTAGTAGGGAGAATTATCTGGGAAGGGATTAAACTTCTGTGCCAGTAAAACAGGTTTCATTTTCAGCTCTGATGTGGTGAAGGGTGACTGGTAATCACATTAGCCATTTCTTTCTGTCTCGGGGTGGCTGACTCTTATCTTGGATCTCTATTTGACGTGAGAAGTAGAACACAATGAATAATTCTTCCTGCAGCCATTTTCCACTGTTCCAAATATATGGGCAAATTTCCCATTTTAAGGAGGATTATAGAGAATGCTAGGAAGGGATTATATCAGTATGTATGAACGCGTGGGTGGCAGTCATTAATATATAAAGCCTAACTCCAGCCAAAACCTTTTTTATAGATAGAGTGCAGGAGGGTTGGAACCTCTAATAAATATATAACCTCCTCTACTTCAAACCCCTCAAAAAGTCATACTTTCTCCCTAGAAAGTGCAATAATCATATAATATAACCTTTTTGTGATATAATAATAATACAATTAAACCCTAAAGTGTCATATGCAATCACAAAAATCCCAATAAAAATTGTCCAAAAAAGGAAAAGAAAAGTCCAAAGAAAAGTCCAGTGTTCAAAAGGTCCCAGATTTCCAAACTTTTTCATCCAATAGGAAGGATTGAATCCTATTCCATCCCGTAAGAACCCTCTGTATGTATATAATCAGCTTATCAGCATTATAGATCAGAGATCTTCCATTCTCTCTTCAAATAAATTTTTCCAAGGTCCTCAGAAAGACAAGAAGGGTCTCAGGACTCATATTCAAAGTATAGGGAAAATTTTAATAGCCACTTACATTTAAAATTTAGAATTTCCAGCTCCAAACATGGCTCCTATACAAGTTCCAACAAACAAATGCAAAAAAACCATGTGTGGATAACCAACAAAATGGCCGCGGCGACACTTCCGGTTTGCGTACGCGCGTCTTGACGTCACTCCACTAACGCGTTTCGTCACTTCCGGACTTAGTCTGAAGGGATCCCTTCAGACCTTTTGAACACTGGACTTTTCTTTGGACTTTTCTTTTCCTTTTTTGGACAATTTTTGTTGGGATTTTTGTGATTGCATATGACACTTTAGGGTTTAATTGTATTATTATTATATCACAAAAAGGTTATATTATAGGGTTGGAACCTCTGTCAACTTTTTTTTAATATGTATCAGCTGGACAAGGAAAAAGCAAGATAAGAATGGCATAGATGCCTTTGGACTTTGGAGATAAAGAATTCTAAGAATATTGTGGACAACAAGGAGTACAAACAAATCCTTCAACAAATCAAGCTGAACCTTTGACTAAAAGCCCACATAATAGACTAAAGATGTTTTATTTGGACATCTCTAAAAAGAAAAAATCAACTGCAAAAGACAATCATAATTGGAAAAATTGAGGGGAACTGAGTAGCACACTGAGCAATAAGGTGGCAGAATACAGACCCAGAAAAAAGCCATTACGAAGACTGAAGACCCAACTATTCTGGAGAAATCCCAGAATACAAGACTGAAGCTGTTTTATTTTGAACTTATAATATGAGAAGAAAGAATCCATTAGAAATTACAATTATAATTGGGAAAATTGAGTGGACAGGAGAGAACAACGAGAAATAAGGTGGCTATATACACAGATACAGAAAGTATATAAAGCTGTGAGAAGACTGAAGACCCAATGACTCTAGAGCAGGGGTCTCCAAACTTTCTAAACAAAGAGCCAGTTTATTGTCCTTCAGACTTTAGGGGGGCAGACTGTGGTCATTGGGAGTAGAAAAGGTTTCAATGTCAGTGGGAGAAAACAATGCCTCATCATTGGTGTCAGTGCGACGAATTCTGCCCCATTGTTGGTGTCATTGGGAGGAATTGTGCCCCATCATTAGTGTCATTAGGCTTCATTATAGGTGTTATTGGGAGGAATTTTACCCATTCATTGGTGTCGGGGGGGGAAATTATACCCATCATTGGTATCAGTGGATTAAATAGTGCCCCAAGGCTGCGTAAAAGCAAGCAAAGGACTGCATCTGGCCCCCGGGCCGCAGTTTGAAGACCACTGTTCTAGAGAAACACTATCCATGTGGTCACCAGGAGTCAGAAAACTCTTCTGTTGGAAGAATTCCTCAGCACTATTCTCTCTTTGGAAAACCCATAATTTTCTGTTAATCCTGTGTCACAGGTCCACCCTTTAATAGATGTTCACCAATACCACAAAATGTCTGTACACATAGTAAAAACAATGTAAACAACTATTTAAAAATGTTCATTCTTTCACCACTTTATCACTGCCATATTGGAAAAAATGGTGGGTAAGTGGATTTTTTCTCTGTAATGCTGTTTATAAAATGGTGTTTATTGTATGTGCACACAGCAGGTGTGTTTTATGTTGCCATTCGGCCCCTTTACACAGGGCAGAAGCCGCTTGCTCAGTAGGGAATCTGTCCGCTGATCCTCCGCTGAGCAGAATGGAGCAGGCGCATGACAGCCCCGTGTCTGTTTTGTTTATGCACAGACATGGACACAGCCTTCTTTGCTCTATGGGTGGTTGAGTGTAAACAGACCGGCTGTCCATTTACACCCAACTGCCCTCTGATCCGATCCGCACAGACAGAGGGGAATTGATCCCCTTCCATTTGTGTTTATCAAATTGGACTGGAGGTAGGTGGGCACCACTCCATAGAAGTGAATAGAGAGTCCAATCGGGTCAGCCTGAAAAATGGACAAGCAGACCCAATCATGTGAAAGGGACATTAGACAGCACAAATCACAGGCAAAATGCACAAAGCCAATCAGAGTGGCTCTGTGCCTTATGATCATTGTGATTGTACCTATTTACTTGGTCTTGTTTCTTTTTATATAGTAAAAAAAATGTAAAATAAAAACATTGTTTTTTAAATACATTGGGTACAGTGTTGTATGACCAAAGTAATTCTCAGTCAAACTATTATAGCCCTGAAAACCTGGCAATGAAGGGGTATATACAAGCTAATATTAAGGTGTTATAAAATTATGATAAACTAACCCCAAGCAATTATACTTTCCTGTAAGAAAAGCAAATATCTGTATCAAGCACCTGCATCGCTCACATACATGATTTCATGACCTCTGAACCATACATTCATGCTGCAAAAAAGTGAAAAAAAGGAAAGCGCACCAACCTTGCGCATTACCTCAATACAAAACTGTGATTTTATTAAATGCGTCAACTTTATTAAATGTGAAACGCGTCAACTTTGAGAGTCTCCCCCCTTGATGTGACTCACACTGGTATTGTACTATAATGTTCCTCTGAGGATCTTATTTTACTGCTTTGTTTGTGAGTATATATCTCATTTTAATAAAATCACAGTTTTTGTATTGAGGTAATGCGCAAGGTTGGTGCGCTCTCTTTTTGTTTCACTTTGCAGTACTGGTTGGGTTTCCCCAGCCTTGTTAAGAGCTGCACAACCTTTGATCCATTGGTGGACGAACTTCCATAAGTGGTCAATCCACCCTTGATCTGGGTCCCTGAGCACAGGAGATGTTGTTTCTGTTTCCATACATTCATGCAACAGAGTTGATCTATGTACACCATTGTGACTGCAAGCGGTCTGTAAGTTTGTAACCTTTCCTGGTAAATACCAGACCTTCTAAACCGCCATCTTACCTGGAATAGCTGCCCTCCTCTTCTGTTTGCTCTGAGTGGATCCTGAAGTGTCCTTGGCAGAAAAATCCTCGGCGGAAGGATCCACACTGTCACTGTCATCAGTTGACTGGTGGTAATCATGTGTGTCTGGGAACTCTGAGGAATAAGCACATGGAACATAAGAGTGAACAGGGTGCATGATGGTAAATACATCAATATGCATATTCCTCACAGCACTGGGAAGGACACTTCCTTTATTTACTTGAAATACGTTTATATTAAATATAGATATTATTAAAAGTCAAAGAGACACCTACTAAGAAAATGTCACCTCGGACACTAATTCACCTATATCTAACCTATCTCTAAAAACCTCAATCCTGCCTCCTGCCATATGCCTGAATGCTTCCTGACTCTTGTGTGCAGTCTGAACATCTGACAGGCCAAGAACCAGCACAATTTTCAATGTAAGTGCGCTTATTAAACTATATTTATTCATGTTTACCTATTTGATGGGTGTGTTTTATGTACAAAGGCTTTCATCAGAGCCATTTTTTATGGATGTTATAAATTCCATTTTTTATGCATGTTGTAAATTCTGATTAATCTCTATGAGTGTCATAATAACATGGTAACAATAATTTAAAGTGTTACTAAACCCCGGACTCTGCATTCACTATATCTGGTCTCCCACACTACACACAACATGGAAATGCAATTATTTTAGTAAAAATATAAACTGCTAAATGCCTTTTCTCATCTGCAGTATATGGCAGTCTTGTGACTTCTATCAGTGTTCAGCTGTGCACTGGTTAAAGCTTGTAGAAGGAGTTTTTATTCAGCTAATGAGGCTGCATGACCCTCTGTCTGGACAGTGCAGATTGGCCCTGTGCTGATCACATGCACCCTCCCAAAGATAAAAAAACTATAGCCATACAAAGTGAACTGAACATGTGCAGAGTGACTGCTAGAGCTCTGTACTATCAGCAGATGAATTGGGGACAGTAGAAGGGGAGGATCAGAGAAGACAGGATCAAACAGCCTTTTTACACAAGGATTTACCCCTTAGGTTCCACAGTGAGTATAATAAGCATGCTTTACTGCATCTACAGACTGATTTTACTGTTGTGGGTTTAGTAACACTCAGGGGCGGACTGAAAACTCATGGGGCCCCTGGGCAATAGGGGATCATGGGGCCCCTGTGTCCTTGCCCAAACTCAAAAAAGCCTATGAAAAAGGTACCAGGGGCATCTCATGGGGCCCCCTACTGACCCCAGGCCCTCGGGCAGTGCCCAAGTTTCCAAATGGTCAGTCCGCCCCTGGTAACACTGTAAGTAAGCACATTTGAGTTTTGGTTGTAGTTCCTATTCTCAATGTTATACATAAAAGAAGATGTACTCTGAATGATTTATGACTATGAGTACAATATAAACAGCCATTCACATGGGCATATTGGATTTTCGGTTTTAGCTCTTACCCTCAATTCCTTTACATGAAATGAGGTATACTCTGACTTTTTTTATACACCAGTAATAGGGAGTCACGTCAGAGCTTACTGAGCTTCTAAGAGGGCAAATTGTTGGTGCTGCTTAGCTGGGGCCTCTGTGACTGAAGGTGTCAATTTGTTTGCCGTGTCGTGAGGTGCAGTATCAAAGGTCATGACGGCATATACAGTTTCCGGGAAAACAGCATCTGATAAGCATAAGCACGGTCGACTTGGTCAGTTGACCGAAAGAGACAAGGACAAGCAAAATCCTCTCTTGTATTAAAAGAGGTATAGACTCCAGAGAGAGAGATATCATTACCCCGATACAAATCATTAGTAAGACCTCATCTGGAATATGCAGTTCAGTTTTGGGTACCAATTCACAAAAAGAGCATTGGGGAACTGGAGAAAGTACAGAGAAGGGCAACCAAACTGATAAGAGGCATGGAGGAGCTCAGATATGAGGAAAGATTAGAGGAACTGAATTTATTCTCTCAAGAGGAGATTAAGGGGAGATATGATCTCCATGTATAATACATAAGGGGGATATGATCTCCATGTATAATACATAAGGGGGGATATGATCTCCATGTATAATACATAAGGGGGATATGATCACCATGTATAATACATAAGGGGGATATGATCTCCATGTATAATACATAAGGGGGGATATGATCTCCATGTATAATACATAAGGGGGATATGATCTCCATGTATAATACATAAGGGGGGATATGATCTCCATGTATAATACATAAGGGGGGATATGATCACCATGTATAATACATAAGGGGGGATATGATCTCCATGTATAATACATAAGGGGGGATATGATCTCCATGTATAATACATAAGGGGGGATATGATCTCCATGTATAATACATAAGGGGGGATATGATCTCCATGTATAATACATAAGGGGGGATATGATCTCCATGTATAATACATAAGGGGGATATGATCTCCATGTATAATACATAAGGGGGGATATGATCTCCATGTATAATACATAAGGGGGGATATGATCTCCATGTATAATACATAAGGGGATATGATCACCATGTATAATACATAAGGGGGGATATGATCATCATGTATAAATACATCAGTGGTTCATATAGTGAACTCGGTTATTCACCCTGAGGTCATCACAGAGGACAAGGGGACACTCTTTACATCTGGAGGAAAAGAAATTTATTCTCAAAATATGGAAAGGTTTCTTCACAGTAAGAGCTGTGAAAATGTGGAATAGACTCCCTCAAGAGTTGGTTCTGGCCAGCTCAGTGGATTGTTTTAAAAAAGTCCTGGATTCTTTCTTAGATACACAGAATATAACTGGATACTAATATTTATAGGTACATTTGATCCAGGGAATATCCGATTGCCTCTCGGGGGGATCAGGAAGGAATTCCTTTCCCTGCAGGAGCAAATTGGATCATGCTTTGCTGGGCTTTTTTTGCCTTCCTCTGGATCAACTGTGGGTGTAGGATTATAACTTTTTTTTTTTAATGGTTGAACTGGATGAACTTTTGTCTTCTTTCAGCCAGACTAACTATGTAACTGTAGCATTGCGCAGCATTGTGACCTGGAATAAAGAAAAAACTGCTGCAAAAGCGACTGCAGTCTCATGAAGATTGAGATTGAGCTCAATTAGCCAGACCTTCCCACCATCAGACTGATGTGAAATTTCAACTGGTGTGCCAGAGGTGTGCACAGTTTGATTACAATTAGTGAAAATTTTGGACTAAAAGATATAGATGGGCTGTCATCACTGACATACTTCTAACAATATTTTCTGCCTGGAGATGTGCCTGGCTTCAAAGCTTTCCAAGTCACTTAATTTAAAAGATAGCAGTTACTCAGGTCTTGCTGGCCATGCACATATATGTGGGCCTGAACGCTGACCCACCACCAGGGGCGGACTGACCATTTGGGAACTCGGGCAGTGCCCGAGGGCCCGGGGTCAGTAGGGGGCCCCATGAGATGCCCCTGGTACATTTCATAGGCTTTTTTGGGTGTGATTTGAGTGTGGGCGAGGACACAGGGGCCCCATGATCCCCTATTGCCCGGGGGCCCCATGAGTTGTCAGTCCGCCCCTGCCCACCACATTTATACAACCCACTCCTCTGTGCTGACTTCTGTGCCACTGTTGTTTAACTGACAAGAAATTATAACTCAATGAGTGTTGAAAGTGAAATAAAAGTAGGAAAATTTTAGAATTTGCTTCAGCTTTCTTCCAGGCCAGCCCAACAGAAGACCCCGCAAGGGTAGATGAGCCTCACAGAAGTGCATGGGGCCAGGAGAGAGAGGGCTTGCAGCATGGGATCTAAACCACAGAGGCCACAACAGTCAAATGTTGATAAGTAGAACCTGTTAGGGGAATGGTGGGATCAGTCAGCTCAGGGCAATAGATAAATAGGTGTACTTTGTTTTAAAGTGCAATTACCCTTTGAGGGGACAATAGCTAGGATGGTGCTCCATCCTCTGGATGCCCTAAGCATGTTTTTTGCTTAGTGGTTAATCCAGGCCTAATCATCTTGGAGCTGTATGCTCACAGCCCACTTTTGTGAAAAGGTTTCATCACTTCCTGGAGAACTAATTTAGGCAAAAACACGAGGCTGACCTTGTTTGAAAACGGTGAAGAAATCTATTGACACAAAACCAAAGTTTCAGTTTGACCCATTTCCATTGCAATTATGCAAAATAACATTGCATAAAACATTAAAGGATCGGTCAACTCAAATTAGATAGTTCAGCTTTCAGTGGACATTAAAGCCCTGAGTCACTGATCAGCTTCTTATATCTCTTTCATAATCCAGTGATGGTGGTCTTATTCTCTAATAGGGAGGATCAATGTGCTACCAGCAAGTTCCTAAGTACAATTTCTGAGTTGATTGGCTTGTATGTATCATCTTATCATGTGCAAGAAAAGCAAGAATAGGTACCCACACCGAGAAACAACAGAACAAGTACAAAGAAGCACAATATAATCAGCTAGAATCTATTATGGACAGAACTAAAGACTATGGAGAATTTGACAGAAAGTTGGAAATTAGGTAAAAAGCTCTAATAATGCAAAGTATTTCGTCTTTGCATCATCTTTGATTGACTTTTTATGGTTAAACCACCACCCAAGGAAAGACTTTGTCCTACCATTATTTGATCCTGGGTTCCAGTGACTAGATGGGTCTGTTCCCGGGGCACTGCCTTCTTCTCGATTCTCGTGTTTTTCACCAGGTGAGTCAACTGCGATCAGATCCTCTCCATCGGTAACGCCACCGTATTCCCCATTTTCATTAAAAAAGTCATTATTTTTACTGTCTCCATCCTCTGTTGGTACACTGTGATCTCCTGAGTGCTCAGACTGCTCAGTAGACATCTCAGGGTCAGTCGTAACATCCTCTGAAGCAGTCCATTGATCATTGTAGGTGGGACCTACGTCAAGTCCAGGGTGAGTTGGACTCACTTTACTGAACTCGGAATCAGTGTAGACTCCTAACATGGAGGAAGAGAGCAAGGAAATGCTTACTAAGGAAGAAGTATTCCCCATAGACCAGTAGGGTCTACTTTTCCTTAAGTACCTGTTTTCTAGACACTGTGAAAGCGGCCATTTTGTGTGTCAGCCACTTTGAACAGTGGACTCATCTCTGTACAGTAGGGTTTAAGTTAAAATGAGCCAAGGCCTGAGTAGGCTTACTGTATGCAGGCATATTCTGAGCTCAAAAATATTAATTTTTGAGGGCTTTACATTTATTTGGAACTCACTTGAGCCTTGGCAATATTGTTGATTCTTAGAGATTCAGTAAGTTTCATACAAAATGGTGGCTTTCATGTGTGTAGTCAACAGGTGCATGTTAAACAGCCACAACAAACACATTTGAAACAATTCAAAGTCATTCAGAATGTTTCTATGGTTTCCGAATTTCATTTTCTATGGTAATGTTTTTCCTTTTAGGTATGCTGGTTCCAACCCGGCAGTCAGAAAGTCACCAACATACAGAAACTGTGGTGGGCTAGTTAAGATACATTGACCACAGCAATATGGAGGATGGATCATACCACAACAATACAGAGGATGGACCATGATAATAGGGAAGATGGACTAAACCACCACCATATGGGTGAGGAATTGTACCACAAGACTATGAAAGATGAACTTCAAAGTTCAAATCGTGGGCATGATTTTCATCTTCAGAAATTAATTCTTTAATTATGAGGGTTTTCCCACTAACATACTTAGGTAAAACATTTAAAATCAATGCATTCAAATTGTCTTCTACCACAGTAAGAACTACCCTCCCAGATGAAGCATTTTTTTATAATACTAAAAGAAGTACCTTCCTCGGTGGGATCATGTGACGGGATACTTTTGTTCCTGTAGTCATATTGTTCACAGTTCTTTTCAGTTTGGTCTGTGTAAAGAGAAAAACATATCATTAATACCCTGAATAAAACATGAAAAAAGTTGTCTTGTGTACAAGTTGTACAGGTAGCCGTGTGCAAAAAACCTCATAGCCATACTTTTACCCTAGGTTCACACCTAATCGCTCTGACGCGTTTTGCAGAAATGCACTACAGTGATTTCCTATGGGACAGGTTAACATCTCCATCAGGGACATTGTTTAATGCAAAAAGTTGCGATTTTGGTTCTGTAGATATGCTGCAGAAAAGCATGTATTGCGTTTGTGCCGCGTTTTTGATGTGTTTTGCGTTTTAAATCTGCCTAGCAACAAGAATGATAAAACAAATGAAAAAAAACACATCAAAAATGTGTAAAAACGCAACGCAAAACCTAATGCAGAAACACCTCAAACGCAACCTGCATAGGTGTGAACCTAGACTTAGGGGTGGTGAAAAAAACACCCTAGGTGGCAACAAAGGCATTCCAAGAAATATTTGAGGCTGTTTTTCCGTTTATAAATGTATTATTATAACTATGCAGGGCAGTTGGTAACTAGGGTATAACTACAAGAGGTGCAGATTTCCTAGATGTGCAAGTGGGTAGTTGGTTTTCCCTCTACAGTGTGGTGATAAATAGCTTAGAGAGAGGGATCTCTAGCATAGTTGAAGCCAGTCTTAAACAGCAGCGGACTGACAACTCATGGGGCCCCCAGGCAAAAGGGGATCATGGGGCCCCTGTGTCCTTGCCCAAACTCAAAAAAGCCTATGAAAAAGGTACCAGGGGCATCTCATGGGGCCCCCTACTGACCCCGGGCCCTCGGGCAGTGCCCGAGTTTTCAAATGGTCAGTCCACCTCTGGTCTTAAGAGTGCACAGCAGAGAGAGGGAGTGACATGTACTCTATTTTTGCTGACTGTTTGGACAGTGGCTATAAGGGATAGAGGAGCTCCTGGGTAGTACAAGTCTAATAAGTAGAAACATTGCATAAATTTAGTGCAAAACTTGTTAAGTAGGTAAGCACGAAGTAATAGCTCAAGTCACAAACATCCCAGTGGGAAAGCACCCGACTGGGAACACTCACAGTTCTGTGTTGGAATGTAAGCGGAGCGAATTCTGATGCACTGACAGCATCTTTCTCAAAGAGTGGAATGTGGCTTGGCAAGTCTGTGCCCAATTGGGAGGATTCCTAGAGAGGATAGTATGTCCCTGTCTTATGCCTACTCGTCTGGAACCCTTCCCTGATAGAGAGGTAACCTGTTCCTGCTCTGTCCGCTTGAAAAGCGTGTTCCAAGACCGGGAGCTAGGGTCTTAAGCAGGCTTTGCCTGACCCAGGATGGCTGCCAGAATCAAATGGGACAGAGACTTCCAACCGGATCCCTTCCAAGGTACCAAGGAAACCATAGAGGAGCAAGTTCCTCCTGACTTCCTCCAGCACTTGCCTACATGCTACTGCTAATTTCCTGGTTGGTCTACAATGGCAGTGTTCAAGCTCCCTGTGTGCAGTGTTGTTGAACTGTTAGCAAACTGATTACACTAAGATGAGGGGCTGATAGATCCCCTTTAGGTTTGCTGTTGGGGGTTGGTAAAACGTAGGGTTGAGGCATCACAGATCACGTTTCAAAGGCGTGGCAAACTTGCCACATGACTAAATTTAGCCTAACATTTCCTGAGGGAGGGTAGATGCAAGACACTAGACACTAGATATTTTGTAGATAATAGAAAGTCTTTGGTTGGGCCTAAAACAGTCTTGGTTCAGCAGCTCTCCACAAAGCAGGGGTCTTCGCAAACAAGGGGGTCACTAAGATTCAGTAATCTTTATGTATTTGACTGCCAAGAAACATGTGATGAAAGTCCTAGTGTGTATTTTATTCATCCATAAGATGCCAATGTGTTTTGGGGGTTAAACAATCCTTCTTCCTCAGGGCTTTATTATTTATCACAGTATCTACTGTCCATTAGATATTGTGATAAATGTTAAAGCCCTGATGAAGGGGAGTTGTTTGGCTCCTGAAATACATTCACTTCTTGTAATTATACCTTCGCCATTTGTGGATCAAAGGACATACTTGGACTCACGTCACCTGTGTTTGGCAATTCCTCAGGTTCAAATACACATATATTTCCTGAAGGGTCTGGCTTACAGATTTGGGTCTACAGGCATGAGAGCAGTATGGTTTGTCACATTGGAAAGGTTTTAAGTAGCCAGCAAACTTTGTATGTTTGGCTCGCCTGTCCATTACAAAGGTTCCTGTTAGGAGACATCTTACAGTAAGGGTCATCCTTGGAAGAAATAGGGCACCAACTATATCCTACCTAGATTGTACGCCAAAGTTACCTAGTCATTACAGAAGATCAAATGGCCCAAGAATTACACAAATTTACCTGCTGTGTGTCTCAATCATTCTGCAATGAATAAAGAATTATCTCTTGCAAATCTCTTATCAGCGGTTTGAATCTCTAGTTGGTTTTATGATGATCTTGAAAGACAATTCAAGCCAAAATTTTAACGCTGAACTACGAAAAACAAAAATGTCTTCTGGTGCAGTTGGTTCTATCAACTGGATCCTCAGCTCCTTCAGACTTATCTGCACTGTTAGACTGGTCCCTGCAGCTTCTTCTCCCCTACGCTCTGGTGGTCTACGGTCCTCTGACGTCATCAAGATTAATCCAGAGCCCATAGTAGTACTGCACTGGACATGAGGATACCGTGAGACAATTTCCTGCTGGAGCCGAGGGAACCACTGTTTGCCAGGGGAATAGAGGACCAGGTAAGTAAAAATGTTTTTCACTTCTCCTAGACCTACCACAGTGCCTCCCAGCATCCATAGTGCTCCCAACCTTCCATAATTGCCCACAGTGTCTCTCAACCCCCTCAGTACACCCAGGTTCACTGAGAGCCCTCCACCCCCACAGTGCTCCCCAACCTTCCACCATTCTATCCAGCCTACCAAAGTCCCACCAAGCCCCCTGCAGTTCACCCCTAGCCTACTGCAGAGCTTCTTGCCAATCCACCAGTGTGGATGCACCCAATTCCCTACAGTGCCCTCCAGTCTCTCATAATACATCTGCAATGCCACCAGCTTCCTGAAGAGAAACCTCAACCTCTACAGGGCCCCAAGTCTCCTGTAGAGTTCTAACGCCCTCCAAAATCCTCATACTCCCATAGTGACACCCACCCCCATCTAGAATTTCAATATCTTTTATTACAGGTACTTATATAGCGGTGTCAATTGATGCAGCACTTTACATATATTGTATATTTATATTAGTCCCTAACCCCCAAGGAGCGTACATTCTAAGGTCCTTAACTCACATTCATACATACACATACTAGGAACAATTTTAGACAGGAGCCAATTAACCTACCAGCATGTCTTTGGAGTGTCGGAGGAACCCCACGTAGGCACAGGGAGAACATGCAAACTCCAGGCAGGTATTGCTGTGGCTGGGATTTGAACTGACAATGCCAGTGCTGCTAGGCAGAAGTGCTAACCACTTAGCCAACACATATTTAGCATTCCCACAACATTATTGTGTTAAATTTGTGTTCTTGTACTGTTGGGACAAGAAAGGTTTTGGAAGGTTTTTCTGAGCTCTGGTCTCAATAAAATTGAGAACCACTACTTAGACCACAGGTGTCAAGCACAACATTCTTCTCAAAGTAAGCAATGTAAGCATCTGAATCTGATTGGCAACAACCTCCTGCACCCCCCCCCCTCCATATAGCAAAGCTCAGACCAGGGGCGGACTAAAAACTCATGGGGCCCCTGGGCAATAGGGGATCATGGGGCCCCTGTGTCCTTGCCCAAACTCAAAAAAGTCTATGAAAAAGGTACCAGGGGCATCTCATGGGGCCCCTACTGATCCCGGGCCCTCAGGCAGTGCCCGAGTTTCCAAATGGTCAGTTCGCCCCTGGCTCAGAGTGAGACAGAGAGAAGGAGCCAGTCAGTTGTACTGAAGTACTCATGCTAACAAGGAATATGCTGATAGGGGGAAAGAGCAGAGTGGCAGAAAAATGAGCTTATCAGTCTGCTCTCTCTATTCACTGTCCAGCCACATGCGGAGGGGAGGTACAAGACCTGTAGGCATTAGTGAAGTGCAAAAGAGAAAAAAACAGGGCTTTTTTCAGGCAGGGCTATGCTCTTCACCAGAGCAGTGTAAATCTCAGGACTGGATGGATAGAAATGCTAATCCTTTGGCAGGTAAACCAGCTCACTTATGTATTTCATCTGTGTATTTAGTTGTTTGTTGGGAGTTTAGCTTTAAGCTCACAGGACTGCTTTGCCTTTACAGTCTAGGTAAATGATTGCAGTCTTTATATATCATTGCCTTGCTATTTAAGTATTTACTATATACAGGCATGTGATTTATGTATTAACATTCATTAATGACCTGTTATGTCACCGGTGGTTATCCGTGACTAATCATACAATCATTTTAGAATCCAACCGTAACTCCCAAACTGCCGCCCTAAAAAACTGGAACACCGTAAGTCAGTGCCACGAATGCCCGCACTCCACCCTGACCCCATAGGATGGTACTAGGAATGGAAGGGTGTGGTGTGCCGTTGTGTAATTATAAACAATTTCTGATATATATTTAATCTGATGTACAGGTTTCGGCATTTCAAAATCATTTTCGGGGCTGCCAATTCGAAACTGGTCAGCCTTACCAAATAACACTTGTGTATCGACTCCCAGGACCTCTGCAACTCCCAGGTTATTATTCTGTATCTAAATAAAGCAGAGCTGCAGGCAAACAGCTAAATATGTTGAAATGTATATGTGGGAGCTGTTTTATGTTCCAAAAGATTTATAGTTTCTGTCTATTCAGTCCTGAGATTTACACTGCTCTGTTAACCTCCCTGGCGGTATGATTATTTCAGATTTTTGGTGCTGAAAGTGGTACCATTATTCTGCATGGAAATATGTAGTTTTTTTATTGTAGGCTGTAATTTTTAGGAATAACTCACTGAAATCTGTCCGAACAAGAGTCTAGTAAACATTCCGGGTATGATAAAATTTGAAACACAAAATCATAAATTATAATTTAATAAATAATCATAAAAAATAATAATATAATAATAATACATTTAATTCAATAATATAATCAAACCAAAAACACTGAAATTTGAAATATAGCGCCAAGTTCGCACATTGCTGAGCAAAGTCGCAAAATCATTTTCAGTGTCTGATGACGAATTTCCCCCACGAATCATTATCACTCAATTCTGCAAGTGGTTCTGATTTAATATCGTTGTTCTCTAGCCGGTCTAAAACCGCTTTTGACCTAAAGGGACGCTTTTTGGACGCCATGGACATTTCTCAGTTTCCAGGCAGAAAGAACAGACAAAATGCAGGCGGGGCGCAGGACAAAGCACTCGGGACAAAATGTATGTGAAATTGGTTGAGACAGCAATGTTTTACTATGTAAAATGTAAAAAAAAAAAATGACATTATTTAAAATTTTTAAATTTCCCGCGGCCGGCGGCGCCCGTACGTCCCGACGTCACAGGGACAGGACACAGAAGCCGGATGCCGGCATCGGCCGGAGGAGATGGCCGGGGACGCTGCAGGGGACACATCGTGGGAGCGCAGGGTAAGGTAAGTGAAGAACACATGCCGGAGCAGTGCCGCATGGTATTCCCGAGTGTAGCTCGGGGTTACCGCTCTTGGTACTGAAATGTTACCCCCGAGCTACACTCGGGAATACCGCCAGGGAGGTTAAACAGCACAGTCAGCCTGATGACCTGACTGAATGGGCCACCTCTTTGCCTCCTGCCTGTGATTGGATAGTAGAGGAGTAGAGGCACCTTCATAGGTTACTCCTCTACTTACCTTGCTCTCTCCTCCTGTCAGCAAGTTCCTTGTCAGCATGCCTGATTGGCTCCTGTTCCTGCCCCTCCCTCTCCCAATGTGAATGCTGCTGTACAGGAGATGACAAGAGGCTCATACTATGTCAATCTCCAGTTCCTACAGAGGAGAGGAAAGTGAAAGGAAAAGAAACCCCAAATTTTGGGTTGTCCCCAGAACAGTAAGGCCCCTTTCGCACGGGCGTTCCGGTTTTTTTTCAGTTCAGTCACATTTTTCCAATAAAAATCGGATCAGTTCACATCAGTTTTTCATCAGTTTACATCCGTTTACATCTGTTTTTCATCAGTTTTTCATCAGTTTACATCAGTTTTTCATCGGTTTACATCAGTATATATCTGTTTTTTATCCTTTTTTTTTATCAGATTACATTTCATAAATACCACCATATTTCAATCAAATGGATTATGAGATGCAGTGGGTAATTGATGATCATATTTTAGCCAGGGCTTTTCTTCAGCAGGAGCATGGGGTAACGCAGTTCCGGCACCTCCAGCACCTCCAGCACTGAATGTATTTAATGACAAGGGGTGCTGGAGAGAGAGAGAGAGAGAGAGAGAGAGGGACAGAGAGAGGGGGGGAGAGAAAGAGGGGGGAGAGGGGGAGAGAGGGAGGGGAGGGAGAGAGAGATGGAAAGATGGAGAGGGAGAGGGGGAGAGAGAAGGAGGGGGAGGGAGAGAGAGATGGAAAGATGGAGAGGGAGAGGGGGAGGGAGAGGGAGGGAGGGGGGAGGGACAGAGAGAAGAGGGGAGAGAGAGGGGGGGAGAAAGAGGGGGAGAGAGGGGGGAGGGAGAAAGAGAAAAGTGGCACCTCTGTTATATCCTGGATTCATGTTTCCCTACAAAAGTCCTAGGAAAAATAAAGCTTCCTGTTACTTCAACCTAAATCTCATGACTATATACACTCACTGGTCACTTCATTAGGTCCACCTTGCAAGTATTGGGTTGGACCCCCTTTTGCCTTCAGAACTGCCTTCATTTTTTTTTGTGGTATAGATTCAACAAGGTGTTGGAAACATTCCTCAGATTTTTGTCAATATTGACAAGTTGCTGTTGCCTTGCTATCATCTTGAACCAGTCTGCCCAGTCTCTTCTGACATCAACAAGTCGTTTTCCACAACACAACTTCGGCTCATTGGATATTTTCTCTTTTTTGGACCATTCCCTGTAAACCCTAGAGATGGTTGTGTGTGAAAATGCCAGTAGATCAGCAGTTTTTGAAATACTCAGACCAGCCCGTCTGGCACCAACAAACATGCCACATTCAAAGTCACTTAAATCCCCTTTCTTCCCCATTCTGATGCTTGGTTTGAACTTCAGCAAGTCATCTTCACCACATCTAGATGCCTAAATGGATTGTGTTGCTGTCATGTGATTGGTTGATTAGCAATTTGTGTTACCAAGTAATTAAACAAGTGTACCTAATAAAGTGGCCAGTGAGTGTATTAAAATACATTAAATAAGACAGTGCTCTTCAGTGCTTGAAAAATATTGAACAACAAAAACTTGACACGTGCTCTAATCCTTTCCTACTTCATCCAAAACAAAAAAAAAAATTTTGGAAACTTTTGAAAAGTGAAGCACGGGGAATAAGACTTTTTATCACTCTGGGCCACACATAGACAGAAAACCTCCAGTTGGTATTTGCAGGCCAATAACAATTTCAAATATTTGTCAGCCATACTGACCTGAGGCATTGTAGCAGAAGACATCGTATGGAGCAGTAAGATTGGGGTGAAGTACATAGAGTCCTACGAAGTTATTAGCGCAGATTTTATTCGGCGTTATACGAGGAATGACTACTGTGTTATTGTCTATCCAACCATACCTGTAAAAAGAAAGCCAGATTTATCAGCCATTGTTATAGAGTAGAAATGATCTGCAGAAGTTCTCCTTGCAAACAGCCGTTGATGATAGACAAGGGGGAGCAAGGAACTGGAAGAGTTTCTTTATCTATTCTCCTCAATAGACAACTTTTAGAACTTCACAATTATGTCCATGTTAGTGATATTTTAAGTAGTGTCAACGTGTGTGAACTGCCCCCATCATTATCACATATATAGTAGAGATTCGGAGGAGATGTGTCCCCCACTGTACCCTGAAGCTCTAGGTAGCAAAGTATCTTCCATTCCAACGTTTGGTGAATATTTTTGCTATGAAGCCAAGGACTGCCCCATGCTGGCTTCTAATTTGGTTAATAATTGGTAAATCAAATATTCCAAATTTGACAGATTATTTCTTATGGGACCATTAATGGCCTAACACAACCAAGATATCCAGGAATCCTGCCATGGAAGGGTTAAAGTGTATCCATACTTTGGTGATGCAAAAGGGTTACTTAACAATAGAACTCAATAATTTTTAGATTCCCCCCCAGTATAAAACAACTAAACATTGACAATCTCACCTACCCTGTCTATGTTCTCGTGCTGTCCCTGACTTTCTCCTTGGTCTTCAGTCAGAGGCCCTCTTCAGGGTAGAATGACTCTCTATCATTCTTCCCCATTGGAGGCATGTAGGTTTGGAAATTGGAAGAATGATATGCCAAGCCTACATGCCCCCATGGGAGGCGCCTCATCACACAGGATGGACTCATATTACTCCAAGACTGTGTGGTACTAACACAACATAACATGTCCCTGACTTTTTCCTTGGTCTTCAGTCAGAGGCCCTCTTCAGGGTAGAATGACTCTCTATCATTCTTCCCATTTCCAAGCCTTCATGCCCCCACTGGAGGCATGTAGGTTTGGAAATTGGAAGAATGATAAGCCAAGCCTACATGCCCCCATGGAAGGCGCTGCATCACACAGGTTGGACTCACATTACTCCAAGACTGTGTGGTACTAACACGACATAACATGTCCCTGACTTTCTCCTTGGTCTTCAGTCAGAGGCCCTCTTCAGGGTAGAATTACTCTCTATCATTCTTCCCATTTCCAAGCCTTTATGCCCCCACTGGAGGCATGTAGGTTTGGAAATTGGAAGAATGATAAGCCAAGCCTGCATGCCCCCATGGGAGGCGCTACATCACACAGGTTGGACTCACTATACTCCAAGACTGTGTGGTACTAACACGACATAACATGTCCCTGACTTTCTCCTTGGTCTTCAGTCAGAGGACCTTTTCACGGTAGAATGACTCTCTATCATTGTTCCCATTTCCAAGCCTACATGCCCCCATGGAAGGTGTCTCATCACACAGGCTGGACTCACATTACTCCGGGACTGTGTGGTACTAACACGACATAACATGAGCACCACGCAGCCCTGGAATAATGCCCCCACCACCGCTGGAAGAAGAAGAGGAACCTCCTGTGATGTCAACAGACCAGATAGAAGACCTCAAGGAAAAGGTGTTTTTCAAAAAAAAAAATACAATGGGGCTTTTTGGGTGGGAGGAGGAGGAAGGTGGTGGGTCTATGCCTGGAGTGCAGCCTTAATGTTGTCCCCAGGCACTTATACCCACCTCTCCTTCACTCCCCACCGCTCCATTCACATTCTCATTGTGTAAGCACCAAGTTGATCTAGTTGCAGCTCTCAGATGTCTCTTTGGACAGTGCCTGAGTAGTCAGTTGCCATGCACCCCTGGTGTCACATTGGATGAAGGGACTCAGTCACAGGTTTCTCCTTACCTGGGAGTAGTTGGTATGTTCTATCACTTCCCCAAGATGAAGAGAGCCATGGGGGAGAATAAGGTAAGGCAAGTATAAGCAACTGTAAAGGCCAGCATTAAAGTCATTAAAGCCATTGCACTGGTGCCCCTGTGGCTCCTATAACTGACCGAGATATTTTGTAAAAGCTACCCACAGCTGACTTCTGATGCATTGGGCAACCTTCTTCTTCAACATACTCCAATTCTGTAGTTTGGTACAGTTTCTGCTCTGCGAGGGTGTGACTGCTCAATGTTTGATTATGATTGGCCTACTTTGTAACAGCTGATGGAATTTCCATAATGTCTACCATTACGTTCTGTCATGGTTTCAGGACAAGAAGTGATAGGTCATTTTTTCAATGCAGATAGACAGTAATTAAATCCTGACAGAAGTTGTAAACCTTCACCAGTCTATCTAAAACAAAGAAAAAAAAGTTGCTCTATTCTAATATTCTCTCCCATTGCAGAGTTTAATGCATAGACTGCATTCTGCGGGGGTGTGACTGCTTAATGATTGTTTTTGTACATTAAGGCTGGCCATACACTATACAATTTTCTGTCCAATTTCTTCCCAATTTCCTATAGATTTACCTTCAACTATGTAGTGCAAGGTCCTGCCTAATTGGATACAATTGAAAGTGTTGTTAGGTTTGACCTCATATTATATGGTTTTTGGTAAATCTAAACCAAAAATCTCAAGAAAATTGTATAGTGTATGGCCAGCCTAACTCTGAGGTTTAATCTGCTTATATTTTGTCTCTCCAGGTTATTCCTGTCCCTCCCATCAGAAATTTTTTAAATAAAACCTTTCAGCTTTCAGTACATAGCTCATTTTAGGCCCAGTGATGTCATCACTGGATCTCCATGCTTCTCTATGCAATGTAGACAGGTGGGAGGGGCCAACAGAGTGCTTACATTACTTCCTAAAAACATCACAGTACTTTCCTCAAGAGCCCTCAGTCCTGATAAAAGCTGACTCTTGAACAGAGTTATGCAAATATCAAAATGCCTTTATGGATGGATGCCAATCTGGAGGAGTGGGCATTGATAGGTGGATGGTATTTGCATGAAGACCGCCCTGCATGTGAGGCTGAGCTTCCATGATTGAAAGAACTGGAAACCAATATATGAAAAAGGGCAGCTTCAGCTTCTAATGCACCCTAGGAGAAGCTCACAGTGTGCAGTGAAACCAGAGGAAGCAATTTCAGTAGAAGAGAGGAGCCGGTACAACTGTGCAAGACTGAAGAGAAGGCTGGAGGTCAGCTTTAACCTCTTGCCGTCCGCCTGCTGTTTATAAACGGCAGGGCGGTGGCAGTCCAGGGGCGGGTTGCTGTTCCTAAACGGCACCCACCTTTTCTAGCTGTGCGCGCTCCCTGGGAGCGCGCACCACCGCGATCCGGTGCCCGCTGTGTCCTCCGGACACAGTGAAACACCGATCGTCGACGGGACGGGACCTCTGTACGAGGTCCCGATCATGTGATCACTGATTGGTGAATCAGTGATCACATGCAAAGTAGTAAGCAAGATGTCACTTGTGACATCATTGCTTACTACGTGTGAAATCTGTGAATGATCACAGAGGTCACATGGTACAAGGCTATTCACAACAGCCTTGTACCATGTGACAAGCTGTGACCAATCACAGCTCACTCAGTACTTCTCAATGACTGCAAGAATGCAGACAGAGAGAAAGAGAAATGATTGCTTTTACATCCTATATGGGTGTAAAAGCAATCAGTGTAAAAAAAAAAAAAAAATCTTTATCACCTCCCACAAGTAGTACAGTGTCACCATGGTGACACTGTACTGCTAGGGTGACAGTATGTAAAAAAATAAAATAAAATAAAAAATAATATAAAAAAAAAATAAAAATGTAAAAAAACTGTTTGAAAATTATAATTTTTGGTTATAAACTAATTTGGATTTTTTTTTTTATAAAAAAATAACGGAATACATTTTGGCCAAGATTTATGATGAAATATTATTTATTTACAAAATTTTATTTAAAAAAAAGCACTTTTTTTTCAAAATTTTTGGACTTTTTCATTTACATAGTAAAAAAAAAAATAAAAATCCCAGCGGTGAATAAATACCACCAAAATAAAGCTTTATCTGTCTCAAAAAAATGGTAAAAAATTCATATGAGTACAGTATTGCATGACCGTGCAATTGTCATTCAAAGCATGATAGCGCTGAAAGCTGAAAATTGCCCTGTACAGGAAGGGGGTAAAAGTGTCCGGACAGGAAGTGGTTAAATTTGAACAAATCCAAAGTTGCTAGTAGGGAGCGAAACTGAGAGTTTATAGAGAAATCATTTGGAATAGCTCTACACATGCCATTGGCCAGTTAGTAGGAAATAGTAGTGCTGTACCTGCAGATCTCAAATCCAGAATCCAGAGCATGCTTCACCTGCTCCTTGGTAGCGATGAGGGCATCCAGCTCACCACAGGTTTTCCTGGCTTCCTCAGCGGTCTGATTGTATCTCTCTCCTTTCTCCACATGGAAAACACCCCAGAACCGACAGCTGATAACTGAAAGCAAAGAGACTTTGTGTGACTTCATCAGAAAAACAAACAGGAGATACAAGTCAAAGAACAATGAACAATAGTTTGATGAAGAAATCTTTTTTTTCCTTTATGGAGTAAAGAGGAAGTTAAAGTGCATTTTCACATTTGCATCCAAATTCAGACAACACCTACTTTGTATTTGTTACATTTTCCAATTCACATTGTGCAACTTAAAAAATAAAATTTGCTGGTTACCTTTATAATTGCTTAAGAAATATTACTTGACATTCTGTTTCTGTGCAATGTTAAGGTAATGTTCATCATAATTAACACTGTGCTGCCAGATCTCATTATCAGTTGTAAACTAGATATCTGTCCTAAAAAGGGTTAAAGATATCAAGGCTTGGGTGTTACATTGTATGTTAACATCTGGGGCAATTAAAGGGTTAACTGTGTGCAGTGCTTTACTGTGACAGCACATTGCTCTTTGTATTGCTCTGCTATGCAGGTCAATACAAAGCAGTGTGCAGGAGCTGACAGGGGAGAGATCTGTATTGTTTACATACAGGTCTCTCCCCTGCAGTGATATTCGGCAATTGCAGGTTGCCAGCGGGTAATCACCAGCCAGGACCTGGTGAGGCCGCCAATGGCCCTCGGTGCATGGGGGCCCCATGATAATCTTGCATTACATCATACTTGCCATCTGTCCTGGATTTGCCAGGACAGTCGCACTTTTTACTAAACTGTCCCTGGATGGCTGTATCCTGGGCAGTATCCTAAAACCTGTACCCTCCTGATCCCATTATTATTATTATGTCCTCCTGATCCCCCTTGGACTATGCCCTTCTGCCTCCCCCCTGTACTTTGCCTTTTCTGTCGATTAGTCTTTGATTTATGGCACATTATCTTATTGTTTAAAATTGATTTTAATGAAAGTACTAATAAATATATATCTAATTCTATCAACTATTTATACTTTATTTCTTGAGAGTATGTGCAAGCAAGCTGGTAGGGACCCCAGTGCAATACTGTGCCCAGGGGCCCATGATGCTATTAGATGGCCCTTTCCCTAACACATGCTGGAAATGTTTGCAGGCCCTGGGTACCATGACTTACATATGGAGTACCTGCCCTCAGCGGCGGACTGACCATTTGGAAACTCGGGCACTGCCCGAGGGCCCGGGGTCAGTAGGGAGCCCAATGAGATGCCCCTGGTACCTTTTTCATAGGCTTTTTTGAGTTTGGGCAAGGACACAGGGGCCCCATGATCCCCTATTGCCCAGGGGCCCCATGAGTTGTCAGTCCGCCCCTGCCTGCCCTCATATAACTCTTTTCGGGGACAAAATACTCCGCCTCTACTTTGACTTGTGGGAGATAGAATCACCAACCATCCTCCCATTACTTTGCTACTCATGATGCCTGGATCCTATAAACAATATAAGAAAAGTCTCCTGGTCATTTTTTGACAGCTGCACATGCTGTGATAGCCAGGGCTTGGCGTCAAACGATTGCTCCTTCTTTTGCTGCTTGGGCCTGTGAAATGGATTCCATCTGTCTATTGGAAAATTCTGTCTCCTGGGAAACAGGGAAAACTGAGGATTATACCTTCTCATGGTCGGTTTGGAATCACTTCCGACATTTTTCAAAATGTACCTCTTATGTATGATACAGGGCTCTACTGTCTGCCAGTCTCATCTAGACTAGTCGCTCTGGCTTTGCTCCGCCATAACGCTTGGGTCCAAAGCTCTCCCATCCCCCTCTTCCCTCTTTTTTTTTTTTTCTTTCTTCCTCTTGCCCCCTCCTTACCTAATTTCATGCTGCACACCTTTTCTCTCTCATATATAGGTTCCTTGCATATTGATGATCTCTGAATGTCTATATACTGATTACATAGATTTCATACGCCACATAGATATGACTGCATAAATGGCGGAATTGATACTCATGCCATTCAGGATATTGGAAGATGGTCTTATATTAGTAAAACAATAAAACAGTTTAACAATAGATAACAACTGCCTTTCTAATAAATCAGCTCAGTGTTGAAACTTTGAAAACTCAATAAAACAGATTAAACATAAACTTCTGCTTTGAGCCATTTGCCTGGAGTTCAGCTATTAATGAACCCTATCTGGTTTAGAGCCTCTTTAGGCTGTTGGCATTCTGGGCTGCCTAGTTCACATTTCCACAGTGACCAGCACTCTCTCCACTTCCATTTCAATGGCCTAATTATCAAGCTTGAGTAAACACAATGGATTATGAAAAGCAATTTTTTTTAAATTTGGTTACGCTCAATTCAAGAGCATCCCCATACTTTGACAAGGACATTAGCACAATTGTATGCGATGGACTAATTTATGCATTCAACTCATAGGTGCTGGATAGCACAGTGGCTAAATGGTTAGCACTTCTGCCTGGCAGTACTAGGGTCATTGGTTCAAATCCCAACCATACCACCTCCTGCCTGGAGTTTGCATGTTCTCCCTGTGCCTGCATGGGTTTCCTCCAACACTCCAAAGACCTGCTGGTAGATGAATTGGCTCCTGTCTAAATGGGCCCTAGTATGTGTATGTATGAATGTGAGTTAGGGACCTTAGATTGTACACCCCTTGATGGTTAGGGACTGATGTGAATGTACAATATATGTAAAGTGCTACATAAATTGACAGTGCTATATAAGTACTTGAAATAAATATGTACTGATTGGGGATATGTGTGCTGTATATACACATAAGTACAAAGGCTACATATAACAGAAGGTTTATTAATATGAGGTTTTTTTAGTTACATGTTTTTAGATAAATTTTATGTGTTAATGTGGGAACCTTAAAATCATCTCTAATAAAAACTTTAATGAACAAATTTCAAGAATGCCAACTTTATATCTAGCAAAAAAAAAGTATAAAGTATAAAAAATGACTTTTAAACCAAGCTAAGTTTCCGGTTATATTTTATTATTATTCATTACAGGTACTTATATAGCGCCATCAATTTATGCAGAGCTTTACATATATCTTTACATATATATTGTACATTCACATCAGTCCCTAACCCTCAAGGAGCGTACAATCTAAGGTCCCTAACTCACATTCATACATACACATATTGGGGCCAATTTAGACAGGAGCCAATTAACCTACCAGCAGGTCTTTGGAGCGTAGGAGGAAACCGGAGTACCCAGAGGAAACCCACACAGTCACAGGGAGAACATGTAAACTCCAGGCAGTTGGTGCCATGGTTGGGATTCGACCGAACCAACGACCAAATCATCTAAAGCAGTGGTCTCCAAACTGCGGACAGATGTGGCCCTTTGCTTGCTTTTATCCAGCCCTTGGGGCACTATTTCATCCACTGATACCAACAATGGGGCATAATTCAGCCATTGACGCCAATGAAGTGGCACACTTCCTCCCAAGACTTCCAACAATGGGGCGCAATTGCTCCCAATGACACAACAGATGGGGCATTGTCTATTCCCACTGACCTCAGGACCTTTTCTACTCCCAACAGCCACATTCCAGCCCCCTTAAAGTCTAAAAGACAGTAAACTGGCCCTTTGTTTAGAAAGTTTGGAGACCCCTGTTCTAAAGGTTTGGGTTTGTAATTGTAAATGTAATTTCTTTTATTTCTCTTACTGGATTAATGAATAGTCTGGATTATTATTCCATTCTATCCTGCAGGTTCCAACACAACAGATTTTAACTGTAAATAATTGTAAATATAACTTTTTTTTTTTAATTCCTCTTAATGGAGTAAATAATAGTTTATGTGATTTTTCCAGCAAAATGCGATCTTCCTGTAAAGCCCCTGTGTGCAGCTGTGTATTGCTGAGATCCGGGTGAGTCATGCTTGGAGTAATAAGGAGGGGAAACCTACAGCAAACAATCCGAAGGCTTATTATTTGTGCATAGTACCCTCGCATTCGGACACTAGGACTACGTCCTTCAGCCTTGAACAGCTTATATGAGAAGACATGGAATACGAGTTTACCTACAGGCAATCTGTAATGTAAATCCTCAGAAAGAAGGATCATTCTATGTATATATCATTCTTCTGGGTCACTTCTCATTTCCCTAAAGCAGCCCCCTTCCCCCTTACTGAACTGCCTACACGAGTTAAAGGAAATCAGGAAAACCAACAAACCCACCAAAAAAGCATTTTTTTTTTTTGTTGACTCGCTTGCCCCCTTTTTTTTTTTTTTTTAGAGTGTAGAATTATTTTATTTTTATGACAGGTACTTATATAGTGCTGTCAGTTTATGCAGTGCTTACATATATATTGTACATTCACATCAGTCCCTAACCTTCAAGGGGTTAAAATAATCTCATATTAATAAACCTTCAGTTATATGTAGCCTTTGTACTTATGTGTATATATACTGCACACTTATCCCCAATCAGCACAGATTTATTTCAAGTATTTTTATAGCGCTGTCAATTTATGTAGCACTTTCCATATATATTGTACATTCACATCAGTCCCTAACCCTCAAGGGGCGTACAATCTAAGGTCCCTAACACACATTCATACATACACATACTAGGGACAATTTGGACAGGAGCCTATTGACCTACCAGCAGGGGTGGACTGACCATTTGGAAGCTTGGGCACTGCCCGAGGGCCCGGGGTCAGTGGGGGGCCCCATGAGATGCCCCTGGTACTTTTTTCATAGGCTTTTTTGAGTTTGGGCAAGGACACAGGGGCCCCATGATCCCCTATTGCCCGGTGGCCCCATGAGTTGTCAGTCCGCCCCTGCCTACCAGCATGTTTTTGGAGTTTAGGAGGAAACCCACGCAGGGACAGGGAGAACATGCAAACTCCAGGCAGGTTGTGCTGTGGTTGGGATTTGAACCAATGACCCTAGTGCTGCCAGGTGGAAGTGCTAACCACTTAGCCACTGTGCTGCCCCATTAAAATGTTATGTTTTTAATTCAGTACCTTAGATTGTGCGCTCCTTGAGGGTTAGGGACTGATGTGAATGTACAATATATGTAAAGCGCTGCATAAATGGATGGCGCTATATAA